TGGAGAGCAAATCCCATCAGCAGCAAGCATGCCAGTAGAGGAGAGCTCTGGACAATCCTCATGCCTTGGTGGTGTGTAGGCTATAAAGAAGAGGTTGGCAGCAGCAGCGGTGCCAACAGGCCATGCATTTCAGCACACGTGTTCTCAGCTTGTACTTTTGGATGCTGAGACAGGGGGATCAACCATCCTCCTCACAGATCCTCTGGATTATGTGGACTTTTTGTAGGACCATGAGGAGCAGCATACAGGGGGCACTGAAGAGAGCGCTGAATGTGTGGGAGAGGAGATAAGGAAATTAGTGAGTGACATCAACCAGCACAGGAGGCTTACGACACCCCAGGGTTTGGCTGAAGATCTTAAGGCACCAATGTGTAACTGTTGTCTTGTGAGCAAACTTCTGGGATGATGTCAGCACCAATCACGTATCATAAGGCATTGACATTTCCTCTGAAAGCACTCTGCCTCATGGGTCAGCCAGCCAATTGTCTTCATTTTTCAGCCAATGTGGTACATAAAACCTATAGTTTTATGGCTATGTCAGAGGAAATAGGAAATGTCCACACCATATTTACTACTAGGTCTGTTGATTGCCTACAGAGACTCTAAGCATCGGAAGTAGGACCATCTACCTCACCCGCCTCATGATTTCCCAGACTGTCCTGCAGCAGAGCTTTGCTCTTTTTATCACTCAAATATCCTTCTGAGGATGCATGTGAAATTTTCCTCGTCCACCATCTGATAATTTCCCACCTTACATCACGTACTACTGAATAAAATACTGGAGCTGAGAAAATCAGCGGGGTTCCTCTTTATTATCATTATCATATATCTTTATCATACTTGTCTTATAAGCAAAAGACTTTCCAAAAGAATTTTATGATAGGTCCCAGAAGCCAGCCAGGATATATAGGAGATGATGTCTTTGCCCATCGACACTTGGCTCAAGGCTGGTAGGTAAAGTACTTACTGGGTCATGTATGTGTGTTCCCAGCTCTGTAATCTCTATGCCAGGCTGCTCCCATAAGGTTACTTTGCAAGATACCTTGTTTCCTCTGTAAGGTGGAGAAATTTGCTTTAACTTTGCATGAGGAATCATCATCCTGCACACCAGTGGGTGTTGTGCTGTCTTCTCCAAGGAGAGGATGGCTCCCTGCCAGGTGTCTGGGATGAGTCTCACTCTGGGGTCTTCTGAAGTCACTGATGAGCCAAAAAGGACGAGAGATGAATCATAGAATCATAGAATAGTTTGGGTTGGAAGGGACCTCTAAAGGTCATCTAGTCCAACCCCCCTGCCATGGGCAGGGACATCTTTGACTAGATCAGGTTGCTCAGAGCGCCGTCCAACCTGAACCTTGAATGTTTCCAGGGATGGGGCATCCACCACCTCTCTGGGCAACCTGTGCCAGTGTTTCACTTCCTTAGATCTAGTCTGAATCTACCTCCCTTTAGTTTAAAGCCATTTCCCCTTGTCCTATCGCAACAGGCCCTGCTAAGACATTTGACGCCATCTTTTTTATAAGCCCCCTTTAAGCACTGATAGGCTGCAATAAGGTCTCCCCAGAGCCTTCT